CACACACACACACACACACACACACACACAGCTTCTTTTCCAAATAATTAAAAAGTAGCACATACCTGTAATCCTAGCAAGTCAGGAGGCAGGAGAATGACAATTTAGAGGCCAGCCTCAGCAACTTAGTGAGATCCTGTCTCAAAATAAAAAATATATAAAAGAGCTGGGGATCTCATGCAGTGGTATAAAGCTGGCTTAGCTTGTGCAAGGCCCTGGATTTGATCCATGGCACTCTAATAATACTAATACTAATAATTTTAAAAATCAAAATAAAAAGGGCTGGGTCTTTACCTCAGTGGTACAGACCTTTGGATTCAATCTGTAGCATTGTAAAAAAGAAATCTTGCAAACAAAAATGAGCTATATTAAACTTTCTCTCTCTCTCTCTCTCTCTCTCTCTCTCTCTCTCTCTCTCTCATAATTTACTTTATTGAAAAAAAGAAAAAAAGTCTCCAAGAGGTACTCATCCATGTACTTAGTCACCTCAGACCAAAGGAGGCATCACATGGTCTTTGTCTCTCTTTTTATGATAGAAATATCAAAATTATAATACCTCTTTTGTTATAAATCAAATTTCAATTTATGCATGTATCTTTTCTTGTGTTGTCTCTTCTGTTCTGCTATTCTCTCCATATGTATTATAACTAAATACTAGAGGTTTTTCATAATCTCTGAGGTTCAGAATAGGCATATTATTTTAAACTGTCATTCTTCAAAATTATCATGAATGTTTTTGCTCCACAGGAACTTTGAATTTAACTTGTACAGTTTCATGGAAAAGGAGAATGCCTCAAAATCAACTTACTGAGTTTTGGTCATAATTATGTAAGTTTGCAGATAAGTAGTACAGATAAATTTATGATATTAGGACTTCCTTCCACAGATATGGTATATCTATCCATTTATTTAGGCTTTCTTTCATATGCTTCAATATAGCCTTATTATTTTGTATAATGATTCTTTTAATTTTTGTTAAATTAACCAGTAAATCCTGTACAGTTTTTTTTTAATGTGAAGAAACTATAAATGCTATTTAAGAACATGAAAAAGGAAACTGGGTCTGGTGGCACACATCTGTAATTCCAGTGGATTGGGAAGCTTAGACAGGAGGATCACAAATTCAAGGCCAGCCTTAGCAACCTAGTGAGGCCCTGAGAAACTTAGGGAGACCCTGTCTCAAAATAAAAAAACAAAAAGGGCTGAGGATGTGGCTCATTGAGTGCCTCTGGATTTAATCCCTGCTTAAAAAAAAAAGAAGAGGAAGGTATTTGAATAATTGGAGAGATAAAAATTTTCCTTATGAAAACATATATTATACAGTTATATAATTTTAAGAAATTACAATCATATTATTAAAGTTTCTAGGTTTAAAATTAATTTTCATAATCAGTTGGAAATATTTTTCTAATTTTCTTTGGAGGTTCTTCTTTGAGTCACAGATAACTTAGAAATAATTTGTTTAATTTGCAAATATTAATTTTTATATTGACTGATGTAGTTGTTTATTCATTTATTATGGATTGTTTATTTAATTCTATAATGGTCAGAGAACATAATCTGTATGATTTTGATACTTTAAATTTTTTGAATTTTGTTTTATGACCCAGCATATGTTGAATCTTTTTTTTTTTCCTTGTGGTACTAGGGTTTGAACCATGGGCCTCACACATGCTATGCAAGTGCACTACCACTGAGCCACATCCTGGCCCTTTAACTTTACCTTACTGAACATTCCATATGGCAGGTAGTATGTGTTCTATAGTTGCCTGGATATACTCTTCTATTAACTCAAATGAAGTTAACTTGGCTGATGTAGTGTAAGTCTTCAGTCTCTTTAATAATTTTCTTCGTATTACTTCAATTGATTACTGAGAAGAGTATTGAACTCACCAAATCTTAATTATAGATCTGCTTATTTCCTCTTTCTGTTCTGCCAGTTTTTACTTCATTGTAAAGCTTTGTAGTTAGATGTAGTCTTGCTAAGTCTTCTTAATTGATTTTTTTCTCATTATGAAATGCCCTCCTTTCCTAGTATGTTCCTTATCCTGGAGTCTACTTTGTCTGATATAGCCATTCAAGCCTTTTATCATTAGGACTATGTAGTATATATGTGTCTGTGCTATTTTGAACCTATCTGTGTCTTCATAATGAACTTGTTTGGTCTTGATTTTCAAATTTAGTCTTGACAACCCCTAACTTTATAATTGTATGTTTGGTCTATTGACAGATAATATAATTATTAATATGGTTAGGATTAAACCTACCATCTTACTACATGTTTTCTGAATATCCTATGTGATATTTATTTTTGTTGTTTTCTTTTTCTTCTTTCTTTTGGATTAAGTGAGTATTTAATTAGTATTCTATTTTGTTTCTTCATTTTATTCATAATAGAATAGAAATAGAATAAATAGAAATATCAAAGTTATAATACCTCTGAATCTTTTATTTATTGCTCTACATACTTTGTAGTATACATCTTTAATTTATTACAGACTTCTATGAATTTGTGTTGTGTCACTTCATGTAAGAACCTTATAATAATAGATTATATTTTCTAACCTCCTATCTTTTTGAATATTATTTTCATAGGTTTTGTTCCAGCATATTTTACAGTACAGGTGTTCTTTGACTTATGATGAGGTGATATCCCATCAGTCTTTCATAAGTTGAAATGATCTGAAGTAAAAACTGATATACACTTAAACTAGCAAACATCACAGTTAACTTAGCCTACCCTTAACATGCTCAGCCTAGAGTATGGAAAAATCATCTAGTGCAAAGCCTATTTTTGATAAAGTTTTGAATGTCTCATGCAATTTATTGAATATGGTATTAAAAGTTAAATGGTTTCTACTGAATATGTACCATTTTTGCATCATCATTAAGTAAACCAAATGTTAAGTAGAACAATTATAAGTCAGAGACTGTCTGCATTTTTCTTTCTTGTCAACTAGGTTCTAAAGAAATTGTAAAAGAGAAAGAATATATTTACTTACATATATGTTAGTGCCAGTGCTTTTCATTCTCTGACATCAACATTAAATGTAGATTTTTGAGTCTTGTGTACATACTAGGTATGGGACTCTCACCCTGCATGTTTGTTTTTTCAAGTGTTCTTGAAGTAAGCAAAAGTTAAATGAATTTAAAGGTATGAAGTTAAACCTAAAATGATTTCACTTATTTTTTGTTGAACCCAGGTTGGGCTTAAACTCCGAGGTTCAAGCAATTCTCCTATATCTGCCTTTGAGTATCTGAGATTACAGACACCACCATGGCTGGTCAACAAATACTTGGCCTTTGAATCAAGTTGTGTAACTTCACAGAATACCTTTATAAGTTTTAAAAATGTGCTTATTTTAATGTTATTGTTGAAAATATTCATGAGAGAAATCACACAGTAAATCAAGACTTCATCAATACATGTCATATGAAGGGGTTAGTGGCACTTAATGAAATCCTATGTTTTAGGAGAAGTTGGCATTCCTTGAGGGCAAGGTGTTATGCAACTGAGGATTTTGATTAGTCTTTCTGCTATACTGTGATTCATCATAGGCTGGTTTCTTACTAAGTTGTTGTTCTATTTTGTTTGCAGAATCCTTCATTACTTCACTGAATAATGGAGGAAGACCAAAGGGGCAATCGGAGGAGGTATGAATTCATTACTGACTGATATTCATGTCAAAACTTTCTGCCCTGTCTTCCCATTTCACATCTAACAGAGTCTTACTTCACAGGGAAGCTTGACTTACTCAGGGAAATTTGGTCTCTCCCATGTGTTTTATATAACTGTGAGCCCCAACTCTATTGTAATACTTAGCACATTATCAATGTGCCTCACAGCTTCCCTGCCTAGGGTTGATGCTGAGTAAATAAATGGTTATTAAATAACTTATGGGTATATATACTCCCTAATAAGTTTAGAATTCTGATTTCCAGGCTTCGATTGCCTAGAGCTTCATTTCATTTACATTTAAGAAAATGAATTAACTTACTTTTCCAAATTAAACACCTAAAAAAATTGAATTGCACTAATAAAAAAGTTTTCATCAAAAAATTTCGGTATGATCTGTGTTTTTTAAAAGAAAAATACCTCTAAATTAATACTTTATCATTCAACCTTCTCTCTAATAAGTAGCATTGACTTTGAGAGAGCCTCTTAAGTAATTACAGATGCTTGGAAAGAATTGTCCCTAATCAGAACTCCTCTTCTTAAGGCAGGTAAGAATATATGGCAGAACAAAAATCCACCATTAAATTCAAGTTAATCTGGATGAATCTATGTCTTTCTTACCCCATGTGCCAGGCACTACACCAGGATTTCCTCTCCACCCTCAAAAGCACCACAGTCTAAGGGTGATGAACTTTGATTTCACTTGTTTGTTTTTATTGCAATAGTGTATTGTTTGGAGATAGGGTCTTGCTCTTTTGCCCAAGCTGCCCTCAAACTAACAATACTCCTGCCTCAGCCTCCCTGGTAACTAGGATTACAGATGTGCACCACCACACCTAGCTGTTATAATTATTATTGGTCTACCAATAATCAAGGGACTGAATTTTTGTTCAAGTATTGATAGAAACATCTACCTTTCTCTTTTCTTATTCCCCTTTCCTATTGTTCCACCATCTGAATTCCTAGCTCCATCCCTGCCATTAGTAACCCTAATTGTTCTTTGTTAATTAGGGATGCTCCTGCTAAACCTGAAAAGGCAAAGAAGGAAGGGATTGGTAACCTGTTTAAGGAGCTGCGTGCAATGTTACAAAATCATGGCTACCCTGCGAAAGGAGATAAGTCCAGAGCATTGCAAAGCACATCTGCCATTTTGCAGAGGAAGGAAGGTTTGACTCTCATTTCCTCCACTCTGAGCAAATTCTTTTGGCTTCTACCTCTAAAAGAGATCTCAAATTCATTTACTTGTCACTGCTTGCAGAGCCTTGATGCTCCACTCTCATCCATGCAACTATCACCTGCTACTTTTTTCTTTCTCTTTCATTAATTAACAAATACAAATTGCATATATTTGTAGTGAACAACATGATGTTTTGAAATGTGTATACATTGCAATGGCTGAATCAAGCTTGTCAAAACATGCATTACCTCACATACTTATTTTTTTATGGTAAGAATACTTAAAATTTATGATTTCAGCAATTCTCAACTATGTAATACATTGTTATTGACTGTAGTCACCATGATGCACAGTAGATCTCCTGAATTTCTTCCTCCTATCTAGCTGAAATTTTGTGTCCTTTCACCAACAGCTCCCCAATATGTCATCTGCTACTTTTCAAGGAATTTCCTAGCTAGACTCTGCTTCCACTCTTGCTCCATGCTTTGTTGATTCTGTTTTCCACAAACCACTGTAGTGATATATCAAAGCCTACCATTATCATTTTCCTGCTTAAAAGCACTTCACATTTCATCAGATTAAAATACCAACTCCTCACCATATACCTGTATGCAATAGCGTTTTCTCTTCTGCTTTAATTTCCTATTACACACCAAAGGTTAATTTCACTGAAGCCACTCTCACCTCTTTTGTTTTCTTTAAATAGGCAAAAGTATGTCCTGCTTCACTTTATACTCTCTGCTTCCCCTGCCAGAGATGATTTTCTTCCATGTCTTCCTGTGACTGCCTTCTAGTCATTCAGATCTTATCTCAGATGTTACCTTTTCAGTAAGGCTTTCCTGGATCACCCAGTCTCAGTTCTTGTACTTTCAAAGATTTGAAACCATCTGTTCTACTATGTGTCTCTCCTCTTTTTATCCTGCCCTACTATTTCTAAGATACAAAAGAACAGTAACTTCTTTGTTTGGCTCATACTGTGTCTTGAGCCTCTAAAAGTCTAACACATAGAAGGAGCTCTGTCAATACCTGTTAAATAAATGAAGTTCTATTTAACAACATTTATTGAGTCCCTACTGTGCTCTAAGTACTGTCCTATATCCTGGGTATACACCCTGAAGACAAAATAAGAACAAGTTCACAGTTAATAGTAAAGTATAAAAGCAATTTATAATTTATTGATAAAATACAGTGGTTTTCATTTCTTGACAATATGTAGACTGTCTTGCCTATCTGTTTTTATTTTATTGGAAGAAGAAAAGGAGATGGAAGTCACTACATGGAATCAACAGGCAATGGGGAAATGACTTAAGAAATTGACTATGGGGGAGCATCATGGTTCATTTTCTAAGTTGGAAGACCTGTTCCCAGAATTGACTTTCCAGGCTGGGACAGTGATCAGGAACACTGATCCTGAGGCAGTTTTGCAGTTAATGTGGTTTACTTTTTATATCATTTCTATTTCCCACCAGTTTACACACACTCTTATTATCCCTTCTTTAATGAGAGTTTTGGAGCTCTTTGGCTTATACATGGCTTCCCTCTTACACAAATCTACTCCCCAATATGCTCTTGGAGTCCCTTTGCTAGTGAAGTTAACAGAGCAGGTGTTTGGGGGAGATGCATATGGGCAGATGTGACAGCATATGCTCTCAGTGAGCCCAGGAGCAGAAACACTCTTGTTGCAAAAATCAGAAAACTCTGAAGGATGGGATAGGATGTTGGAGAGAGAATAGTGCTTTGGAGAGATACCAGATAAGGCTTGAAGATACCCCAGGTAAGGGCCCTTGCTTAAACCTTAACTAATGAAACTCAAGAGTGTAATTTCATGTTTTAGCCAGGAGTTGGGGGTCTTGATATGTCTAGGGTTCTTGACTTTATCTGATACATTATGGATATTGAGCTTTTGAACTCAAAAGAAGAAAAGAACCAAAAGTTGAAAAGTCATAAAGTTTTTGGATAGGTCATTATGTATGGGGTAGAAACTTACATGGATGATCTTTAAAGTCTTTTCCAAGTCCCAACATTTCCATGTTTATGATCATTTACAAACATTAGCTAGTCTGCATTACATCCTTCATTAACACTTAGCATTTTGTCATGAATCTTTTCTAAAAAGTTAATTATAACTTTGAAAAAAATCTAAAACTCATAGCTAATCATTTTAATATGACACTTTTGTGTGCTTTATTCTTTTTTTCTAAAAAGTAAAACTCAATCCTGGTGGCTCTCGAGATAAAACAAGTTGGGTTCCATTTTTTCATAACTATGAAGACTTTAACCAAATGATGCTACAGGTAAGGGGGCTTTTGTTATTTGTTTACTTCACATGTAGAGGACATAAAATATGATTGAAATGATGTTGTCAAAGTGTGTCTAGGAGACCATATGTAAGGAGCTTGATAAATATAGATTTCTAGGCTCTAACTTAAACTGTTTGAATCAGTATCTCTTACCTATCATGTCAGGAATCTGCATCACAGGCACCCCAGATGCTTCTTATGCCAACTGTTTTGATAACCACTGATTATGAGTTACAAAAAAATATGTGCAAGTTCTGGTTTGGATTCATGGGCAAAATTAGTAAATATTTTATATTTATCCAACACATATTATTGAACTCTAATGAATAAGAATTCAAGTCATTATTTTTCTCCTTAAGGACATGAAATTGTACCTCAAGAAAACTGGTTAGTTTCACTAAGTTCAAAGGCCACAAGCTGTCCCCTGAAGGACCATAGTTAGAAAAATAGGGATACACATTTTGCTTTGTCAATTACTGACTGTGTGTCTTGAGTGAGTTGCCATCTCTGAGTCTTGATTATTTTGTATTTAAACTGAGTCAAACCATCTCTGTTTCATGAAATTGTTGTGAGAATAAGGTAAAGACAATGTTGTAAAATTTCTAGTGCAGTGTTTGGCATATATTAGATGCTCAGAAGTTATGAACTCAGACCTTTTTCTTCTATTGTACTAGCTGCCATTTGGCATTATGATCATTAATCAAAATGAGGTCTGAGAAAGGCATTGTGTGGGTGAATCTTTTCAAACCTACTCCAGTGCTGGGAGCAAAATTTCACTGACTATGGATGAATGGAGTCAGTTTTTAATAAAGTTGCTGCATGATTTATGATGGGGTTACATTCTAGTAAACCCATCATAAGTTGAAAATATATTGTAAGTAAAAAATGCATTTACCACAACTAACCTTCCTAACATCATAGCTTAGCCTAGCCTACCTTAAATGACTCAGAGCACTTATTAGCCTACTGTTGGGCAAAAATCACCTAATACAAAGTATATTTTCTAATCAAGTTTTGAGCATCTCATGAAATTTATTAAATAGTGTATTGAAAGGTTTCTACTGAAAGCACATTTCTTTTGCACTATCATAATTTCACAAAGTCATAAGTTGACCCATCACTGATGTCTGTATGCAATAGCTTTTTCTCTCTGTGTCTTCATTTCCTATTACACACCAGAGGTTAATTTGATGTCAGTGTTCTAGAGGGGGTGGGATCACCTTTCTTTAAGTACTTTTATTGAAGAGATTTTGTTTTAGTGGTTATTATACAAACGCTTGATACAGAGAAACCTCAAAATGTGTTATATGAGAAATCCTGTAACTAATTTTATGAAATCAGATACATATTTGATTATACTTTAAAAGCTAGACAAGGCATGACTATTCCCTGCAGTGATGGTTATGTACACAAGTGCAGAATATATAGGACTTATTTGTGTGTGTAATGCTGAAGACTGAATCCAGCACCTTGCACATGCTAGCCAAGTGCTCTATCACTGAGCTTCACACCCCAGCCCTTTTGTAAATTTTACTTTGACACAAGGTCTTGCTGAGTTGCCCAGGCTGGCCTTGAAATTGCAATTCTCCAGCCTCAGCCTCCAAAGCAGTTGGGATTACAGAGTGCACCACAGGGCTTGGCTCCTCCTTTTCACTTTCCCCCTCCATTAGACTTTAGTTAGCTCCCTGGAAAAGCTTCTTATATTATAGTGAAGTTTCTCATATAAAAAATAGCTTAGCTTATTCTGGCTAATCATAACCAACTTCATCCATAGAGATGGAAACATCAGGGTCTCTGGGAAAAGGGGGAGTAGAGGGTTTTTTTCTTCACTTGCCAGTTTGAGGAGGGCTTTTTCTGGATGCAAGCAAGCAGAGCTTGCCTTTTGTTTCTTAGGCCCTATACAGGTGCTCCATAACTTAATGATGATTGAACTTAATGATTTTTCCACTTTGTGAGTACAAAATTGCTATGCATTCACTATAAATTTTACCTTGTTTTGTGCTGGAAATTGAACCCAGGTTCATGCTCATGCTACACATCTACCACTGAACTACACTCCCAGCTTCACTTTGGATTTTCATCTTTGCCTGGGCTAGTGATAATGGGCAAGATACTCTCTTGCACCCACCAGTGAGCAAAACTCCCAATCAGCCACACAATGGTGAAAGTAATCAGTTAGCAGGCCATAGTATACTGTGTTGTTAAGCTATGAGTTTTCAGTAGGTAAAGCATATTAAATGCATTAAATGCCTATTAAATGGTATTTTTAATTGACAATGGGACACAATCTTTTGGAAGACCAGGAGCATCTCTAATTCAGGTAAGTGACTTGGCTTTGAAAGTTTCCTTCCTGTTTGGCACCCTGCTCAGCAAATGTAAGAGCTTCCTGACATCTGTACAACAACCTACTTGGTGTTCTCAGGTAGAGTGGCTGGTTTCATCCTCACAACAACTAAATTAAATTCATAATGTTAATCCTTTTTGCTGTAGGAAAGAAGAGATCAAACCTGGGAGACCTTGCACCTTGCCCTAATCCAAGAGTCCTTGAGTAGTACAGCTGAGACACCATTTTTACTCCACCCATACTCCAGCCCATGGGAGACAAAGGTCAATCAGAACAAACCATCTCAGTAAATAAAGTGTGATGAAAGTTTCAAAAAGCCATCAGGAATATAGAGAATGATTAGAAGATCAAAGCATCTTACCAATATATGTGTAGATTGTTTTTTTGAAATCACATGTCCAGAAGGTCACTTCAGTTTCATAGCAATTTTGAACTTCAGGTTTTTTATGACAGATGAATAGGACAAATAGGAAATACCAAACATTTCATTTTAACAAGATTTTTTATTTTAAATTTATCTTACTTACAGGAATGCACACAACATATATTCATAGTTAAATAGTACAGGTGATGCTGATACCTTGAAACCCCTTTATCATAATCTCTTTCTTCTCCACCATTTCCTGAATTCTGTATCAATCATTCCCTGGCTTTTATTTGTATTTTTAAGACATGTATATGTATCTCTAAATGATATCTTCTTTTGGATGGTTTTGACTTTTGTTTAAATGGAGTTATATTTTTTGCATTTTTCTGTGATTTAATGTTTCTTTTGCAGTCACCAGATCAGTGACTTAGCTTTGGATGTTTCCTTCCTGTTTCCTGCACTGGGCTTTGGAATCAATTTTAGCTCATGTTCCTGAGAAGGTAGAAACTGAAGCAAAACTCCATGTAAAGATTTTAGTGGGCTATGTAATTCCAGCACAGTGAGTGTGAGGGGAAAAGAAAAGTTATACAAGGAAAGAAGGGAAGGAAATATCAGATGGATTATTAGCAAGCTGGATACAGCTTCACAAGAACACATAGCTGCTTGTTCAGTCCCAGGAGACTTCTTACATTTAAACTGCCCTGATGCCTTGCAGTAGTCTGTATTTACCAATATTTTTCTGTCTCCTGTCATTAATCAAAAGTTGCACACAAGTTGTTAAGTACTCTGTCCTTTGGGTTACCTGACCCTTTGAGGAACCAAGTGGGACACACAGATCCCATGTGCTGAGGCACATGAACTGACAGTTTTTGTGAATCCAGTCACAGAGTATGAATATTGAAGCCTGTATAGACAGGGACAGCAAAAAAAGAGCAAACATCCCTGTCTTGGTGGGATGAGATGGGATGTGTATCTTCAGGGAGTGCCCAAATTGAGTCCAGTCTATGTGTGGATTTTTCTATGGTAAGCAGTACTGGCTTGATGAACAAGGATGTTTTTAGGTGAGATTGGTCAGGGGGCAGAGTAGAATGGAAAGATGGTTTCCCTCTACATGATAGCAGCTGTTTTGATTTATATTCTTAGTAACAAAGGATGAAAGTTTTTTTTTTATATTTTAAGATTAATGTGCTAGAAATAGAACCCAGGGCCTCATGCATGCTAAATAAATTCTTTACCACTAAGGTACTCACATAGTTTCTGCATGAAAGTTTTTATTGCTCCATATCCTTTCTAATAATTTTTCTGGTTTAGTTTTTAATGTTTTGTCAATCTGGTGTGAACGAATGGTATCTTCTTGTTAAATTGGAATTTTCCTCATTATGAATGATAGTGGTATCTTTTCATCTGATTTGAAGCCATTTGTATTTTCTCTTCTTGAGATAATTGCTTTTAGACTTTGTTCAGGTTTTTATTGCATTAGTGCTATTTTTTTAAATTGTGGGCTTTTTAATGAAGTCTTTTTACATGGCTCTTTATACCTATTTATTTATTGAATATTTTATATTTTATTTTTATTAATTATTTTTTAATATAATGTTTATGGGGCACAGTGTGATAATTTGATACATGTATACAATGTGTAAATCATCACATCAGGAAAGTTATCATTTCCATTTCCTTAATCTTTTTAAAAATTTGATTGGGGTTGGGGATGTAGCTTAGTGGTAGATCACTTAACTACATGTATGAGGTGCTGGATTCAATCTCTAGAACAAAAGAAATTAATGTTTAAATCGATTGTATTTATTTATGGGCTATGTGTGATATTTCGATATTTGTAATGTGTAATTATCATATGTTACAGCTTTTTCAAATATATTCTGGAAATGGGTAATTTACTAGTTGTACATTACTAGTTTCTTCTAATATGGAGCTTGCCTTTTCACCTTGTTGATGGTGTCTTTTGACAGAAATTCTTAATTTTAAAGTAATTTATTAATTGAAAGGTCTTTATTAAGAAATACTTACCTACCACAAGGTAATAAATATATTCTCTTTTATTTTAAAGACTTGGATGTTCTATCTTTAACATAAAATATCTAAATTTGGTTTGAATTGCTTTTTGTGAGAAACACCATTACAAAGCTGACATATTGTCAGTTTTGGTTGCTATAACAAAACACTTGTGGCTGGGTATTTTATGAAGAAAAGAGGTTTATTTATCTCAAAGTTTTAGAGGCTGAAAGTCCAAAAGCAGGCAGCCCCATTAGTTGATTCTCTGGCAAGGGCCACCTTGGCTGCCTCACATGGTGGGTGACATCACAATGATGGAAGAACCAAGGAAAGGTTGAAGTCCTATGGTGAGACAGGAAACCTAAGAGATTCAGAAACCAGGATTGTTCTTTTAATAAAAGAACCCATTCTCCCAGAAACAAACTGGGGTCCTATAAGAATTACATTAATCCCATCCAATGGCAGTGCCCAAGATGATCCAAGGCCCCCTCACTTATAGGTTTCACCATCTCTCAGAACCACCAGACTGATTACAAAAGTTTCAGGTCATGAAACTTTTGGGATACTCTGAAATCATATCCAAATCATAACAGATGAGAATAGAGTATTTAAAAGGAATGATTCAGTCCTTTAATGTCCTGGAATTGTACATATTTTACACTTTTCGTGAGTCATCTTTGGTAATTTATATTTTTCTAAGAATTTGTCTATTCCATTGCTTTCAAATTTATTGGCATAAAATTGTTCCTAATATCTCTTGTTCTATCAGTCATGTCTGAAGCTTCTTTAATGATACCCACTTTTCATTCTTAATAGTGTTTGTGCTTTCACCACATGATTCATCTTGCAGCAGCTGTCAACTTTATTGTTCTTTTCAAAGAGTTGACTTTTGACTTTTTTGATTATGTCTCTTGTGTCTTTATTTTCTAAAGTTTTATTATTCTCTACTCTTAACTATATTTTTCTGCTGTTTTGAATTTATTCTTTTGTTCTCTACCTGACAATTTTTGATCTCATTGATTTGTAATTTTTTTTCCTAATATATACATTTAAGGCTAACATTTTCTAAGTGTTGTTTTAGCCACATTCCACATCTTAATAAAGAGTTTTAAAAAGTATTACATTTTGGATATTTTATGATTTTTTTGAAATTGTTTATTCTTTATTCTATTTTCATTGTGGTTAAATATAAACAGAAATATACACACATATTATATAATATGATATATATAATATATATATATATAACATGAAATCTTACCATATTATCCATTTTTAATTATATAGTTCAGTGACTTGAAGTATATTCACATTCTTGTGCAGCTGTTATCACTATCCATTCCCAGTTTTAAAAATCTTGCTTAACTGAAACTGCACTCATTAAAAAATAACTCTCCAGGCTGGGGATGTGG